CCCATCTCGTCGGCTCTTGCGAATCGCCGCTAAGTCGACGCCAAATCGACGCTGGCCGACGCTAGATAGACGCTGATCGACGCTAGTCGGCGCGAAATCGGCTCTGTCTCATCGACTCCCATAATTACGCCAATCGACGCTAATCGCTGCTAATTCGACAGAAAATTACGCGGATACGCGAGGTTCCCACGACTTGCTACCGAACACCTGGGGGTGCCGAGCTCCCAGGGCCCCAGTGGGCAACGGCTGGGGGGATGACTGTATGCATGTCCACGGCATCCCGATGTGCAAGAGGATCGTCTCCCCGGGCCGCGGATCTGTGCAAATCCCCGCCTGGGAAGGGCGCACATTTTCTGCGCCGACCACGGGGGACGGGTCGCCAGCGCCCTGGTCTGGCGGCGCACAGTCCGGAAAAGCACGGTGCAGCACCGTGTATGCGCACAGGTCGCCCAAGCTGACCAGATGCGCAAAAGTACTGCCATGCTGGACCGTGGCTGGCACGGAGCGCAAAGGGGGCACAGTCTGTACAGCGTATGTGCCGACTTCAAGAGGGGGCATGGCTGGCGCCAGACAGGAAGCGACCTCCTCCTCCTCCTCCTCCTCCTCCTCCTCCTCCTCCGCTTCTCCTCACAGAGGAGGCGGTCGCGCACTCTTCTGCTTTGGGAGGACTCGAAGTGGCAAGCTCGGCGCACAAACGCCGTGGCCTACCAGACCGTGGCACGCCGGAGCGCCAACGCACCGAAGCGCTTCGCCGAGTTCCTCGGCCCCTCAGCCCACCAGACGTGGTGCAAAATTCAGGAGAGCCCAAGATCAAATCGATGAGTCGGATCGGCAATCGAAATGTGTCGGATCGGCGGAAATCGGCAGCCAAGTCAGGAGAAGTCAAATCGACGAGAATCGGCAGGCTAGTAAGGCCTCCACTCAAAAAAACGAAATCCAACTCGGAATCCGAAGTAGAATCGAATATGAATCGGAATCGAGCGAAGTCGAATCGAATCGAGCCGCGGAAGTCGAAATGAGCATCGAACAGGCCCGCTCCAGTCCCTGAAGCCGAAGATGTTGATGTCCCCATTGTAGGGGGCCCAGGGACACACAAAAATACATGGGCACGAAGCCCAGGATCCCCCATATTTTCAGTATCTGTCCGGAGCTTCGTCTTCCCCTCCATTTCCCATACTGTTAGGTCGGGCATGCCCCCCTAACAACAAAAAATGCCCATAGACAAATCGTCCCCATACTATTTTCGACAAATATTTTGCATTTCTCCTGTAGATGGACATGCCCTACTTAACAAAGCAGTTCCATATCTTCCAGGGGATCGACGTTTGTTTGCTGTGTCTGTGTGCTTGTTGTTCCCCTCCTGACCTGTTTCCCCACCGTTTCCCCCGGTAGACCAATTGTGACGGAGGCGGAAACCCAAGGAAACGGAACACCCAGAATCAAGGGGCACGAATCCCAGGATCCTCCCATATATTTCCACATCTGTGCGGAGTCTCGTCTTCCCCTCCACTTCCCATCTACTGTCGGGCCGGGCGAAAGGGGGGGATAGCAAAGGGGGGGCTTGAGAGTCAGCTCACGTAGCTGATTTTCCCAGCGCCTCCCGGCGCCGGGAGGCGCCCATCTATCGAGGAAGGGGCTCGGCGGAGGGGCCGCCAACTGGCTGCATGCAGCAGATTTCGCAACCCCCCCTTTCCCTATTCCCCCCCCCCCATGCCATTGGGCCCGATGCTCCTCCAGATCTTCCTGGGGATCGACGTCTCTCTGCCGTGTCTCTGTGTGCCGTCGGTGCCCCGCCTGACCTGCGAGGGGCCTGCGATGGGCTGCGCCCGCTGGCTGCCCCCGTCGGGGAGGCGCAAGGCTTGGGCTCGGGGGGCCCAGGCCGGCCTCGGGAGGTCGGGCAGGTCCTCCCACAGGCGGATTCCGGAGGACGAACAACAAAAAAAAGCCCAGGTTCGAACATATAGCCAAGCAGAATCAGGGGAGCGTTTTCTTCTTCGGCGTTTCGCCGTTGGGCGGCCAAGGGGGGGGGGGAAGGGGGGGTCTGGCACCGGACCTCTGCTCAGTGGGACTGTTTGCAAGAGTGCGGCCTCTGGGGAAGACCCCACCCGCTCGAAGCAGGCGCCAGGTGGGGGGGGCAACACAGCTTACGCCACGAACAGATGTACACAGGCACCCGCCGACGAAAGTTGCATGCACCTTCAGGAAGGAAGGCGGTGTAAAAAGTCGCTGGCCTGGCTTCCAATGATGATTTATACACCGCCGCCATCCCCTGAGGTTACCAGCCTGGGACATATCCCTATCCCTAAGCTGGGCATCGCCTCATCACAATGCCAATCTTAGAGATTACCTTAGTTTTTCAGGGCGCACCCATCAGATTGCCATCGCCTTTTGGCGTGCCAATCTTAGAGATAGGGACAAGTTTGAGGCTGGTGATGGGGCTCGGGAACAGACCTCGGGGCGAGGGAGGAGGAGGAGGAGAAGGAGGAGGAGGAGGAGAAGGAGGAGGTGATGGGTGGTGATAGGGATAAGTTCGAGGCTGGAGGGTGTCTGTTGATATGTTGGCTTGTGGCGGGTCGTGTCCGTGGCTCGCCGCCGTGGGGAGCCCACCGGCGCGCTGCTGCTGCAACAGCAGTGCGCCCTCTCCTCCTCCTCCTCCTCCTCCTCCTCCTCCTCCTCCTCCTCCCTCCTCCTCCTCCTCCTCCTCCTCCTCCTCCTCCTCCTCCTTCTCCGGGCAGCACGCCGACGGGCTCCCAGCGGCGGCGTGATGTGCAGCAGGGGCCCGACCACGAGAGACCCTCCACAACAGGGGGCCACACGCGAAGCCTATCCCTACTACCCCACGAGTTCTGAGGAGGAGGGTGGGGTTCACTTCGCTCGGGAGCTCGCGAGCGAAGCGAACCCCACCCTCCCCATCAGAAACCGTGGGGAGCAGGGGTAGGGTTCGCGTGTGGCCCCCGACACAAGAAACCCAGCCCTGAGACCCCAGGATGTCCTTTGACTTTTGGTGTGGGGACGTCACGCTTTCCATAGCGAAACCATCGGACCCCCCAAGAAGCCCGTGGCACCCTGGAGGCAAGCATGGTGTTTCTTGGCATGGGTTTCCACTGTATATACTGATACCAATTTTCCCTACCCAGTGGGCTGGGTCTTCCGCTGGGTCCTGAAGCCGAGGGGTCCCCAAGAGTGGGTACGGAAAATAGCTGGGCTAATAGGGTCGGGGGGGCAGCATTGGGGTCGGGGGCAGGGGGGGGTCGGGACGGGGGTCGGAACACATGAGCATCAGGTTCTGTGAAGTGGGTGGGGGAGGAGAGACTTTGACAAGACACGCAATACAGCTGGCATAGAGCAGTGTGTGAGATCAGAATCACATCATGGGCCGCGTCTCACCCTCCTCCTACTCCTCCCTTGCCAGCCGACTGCGTCTTCTTATTAGTCATACTGTTATGACGATCCGCATTAGCATTCATTTTTCCAACCCTCCTTGGTTCGGTATTCGTTTTGAATAAGGGACTGAGGTCTCCACCTTCCTTCCTCCCGCCTCCCTCCCTCCTCCTGCGTCATGCTTCCTGCTTGGTTGGGTATTGCTGCAAGGGGCTACGATCTGTGAAACTGTCGCTACTTTCGAGGCCTGCTGGGGGGCCCAGCACAGTGACGCCACGCGCGGACCCAAATTAGACCTCGCCATCCCTGGGGGGCTGCGATCTATGAAACTGTCGCCACTTTCGAGGCCTGCTGGGGAGCCCAGCACAGTAACGCCACGCGCGGACCCAAATTAGACCTCGCCATCCCTGGGGGGCTGCGATCTGTGAAACTGTCGCCACTTTCGAGGCCTGCTGGGGGGCCCAGCACAGTGACGCCACGCGCGGACCCAAATTAGACCTCGCCATCCCTGGGGGGCTGCGATCTGTGAAACTGTCGCCACTTTCGAGGCCTGCTGGGGGGGCCCAGCACAGTGACGCCACGCGCGGACCCAAATTAGACCTCGCCATCCATGGGGGGCTGCGATCTGTGAAACTGTCGCCACTTTCGAGGCCTGCTGGGGGGCCCAGCACAGTGACGCCACGGGCGGACCCAAATTAGACCTCGCCATCCCTGGGGGGCTGCGATCTGTGAAACTGTCGCCACTTTCGAGGCCTGCTGGGGGGCCCAGCACAGTGACGCGCACGCGCGGACCCAAATTAGACCTGCCATCCCTGGGGGGCTGCGATCTGTGAAACTGTCGCCACTTTCGAAGCCTGCTGGGAGGCCCAGCACAGTGACGCCACGCGCGGACCCAAATTAGACCTCGCCATCCCTGGGGTGCTGCGATCTGTGAAACTTTCTCCTTTTTCGAGGTCTGCTGGGGGGCCCAGCACAGTGACGCCACACGCAGATTCAAATTAGACCTGGCCATCCCTGGGGGGGCTGCGATCTGTGAAGCTGTCGCCACTTTCGAGGCCTGCTGGGGTGGCCAGCACAGTGACGCCACGCGCGGACCCAAATTAGACCTCGCCATCCCTGGGGGGCTGCGATCTGTGAAACTGTCGCCACTTTCGAGGCCTGCTGGGGGGCCCAGCACAGTGACGCGCTACGCGGATCCACAATAGACCTCCGTATCCTTGGGCCCGAGGGGCTGCGATCTGCGAAACCGTCGCAACTTTCGAAGGCTGGTGGCGGGTTCAGCGGAGCGAGGCACCAGGCAGATCTGAGCGAGACATAGCAATCCTTGGGGGGCTGCGAGCCTAACGGATGCCGCTCGCAGAAGTATATGCGCCCATGCCACGTCATCACCTCCGTATAACGTCTCCCAAACTTCTCATGCCCCGCATTGCTCAGGGGTTGGGTACGTCGCCAGGGTAATTTCAATTATCATTTTTAAAAAACTGTTAGTGTTAGTGTTGTTACTGTTAGCTTCGTATTACTAATTTTAACGGTAGTAAGATTCTTGCTATTCTTACACTTATCATTCGTAGTATTAGTCTTCTCCTCCTCATCATCATCCTCCTTCTCCTCCTCCTACTCTCCCTCCTCACATCTTGAACGAATTAACAAGTGTGCTACCTGGGCAACGCCGAGCCAGGCTGCACTGCATTCATGAGCTCTGGCCCGACCAGCCTAGCTTTATGATGCAGCCGAGGCCTTTGTTCAGCCTAATGAGACCTAGTCTCAAAGCATGCGGGGAAGTTCGCAAATCAACGCGCCGCTCTTTGTTTCCAGCTAGCACCGAAGCGTACGGGAGCCGAGCACTCCGGTGCACGAGCAGATGCACCACGAGCACACCTACAAAGCCTACGTAAACATGAGGAGGATCACTGCCTCAGAAACTGTAACGGCTATACGAACATCGAATATTGAAGGGGCCGCGTCCATACAAGACCGCACCAGAAGACATAGCAACTCGACAGCGCACTGCACCGAATACATGGCGTGAAGCAAGGCACGCCAACCGACTGTGCGCACGACAAAATTGACCGCGGACCTGGGTCAGCGCCACAGTCCGTCGTGCCCGCAGGAACTTTGGGCGCCTCGTCGGAGATCATCACGCTCCCGGTTGTTGGGGGCATGGGCGCTGGCACCAACACCAACAGAGGGGCCTACCTCCACTGAGGGGAATCTCTCCTGGATGTTAGTGCTGGCGGTCATATGGGGGATTTCGCAAAATCCGATCCCGAAAGCGTTTTCATCTCTTGGGGGCACATCTTTTACTTCCGCCGCCTTCCTCCGAGCTTCCGCCGGCGGAGGCGGCCTCGTTTTACTTCCACCGATCTTTCTCCGCCGTTCCGCCGCCTTCCGCCGAGGAAGAGATGACGACTCCTTCGATCCTCGAAGGCAAGGCCCTTGATCGGTGGAAGTAAACGCCGATACTAGTGTGGGTGCCAGCCTCTAGGCCTCCGAGGGCGTTTTTCATCAGGACGCTCCCTCACCCTCGCGCTTCTGGCGCCGCCCCTGGCACACTCCGCGCGCCAGGGTGCGGGGGGGTCCTGTGCCGATGCAGGAAATCCGCGCTGAACTCTGGAAGTGTATGTTCATGTTTTCTTCTTCGACTCGTACCGATACCAATACTCCCTGGACATTTCTGGGGTGCGTTCCGGCGAGGATGTTGAGGATCATCCAGCCGTGGGGACGAGGACTCTCCAGGACGAGCAGTACGGTATTGGTACCTCTTCCGTCTCTGACATACTGCGCGAATTCTATTCTCTGGCTGAAGCCAGAATGCCTACGCGGGTGGGCAGATCCCTCCACTCAAGGCGTAACGCCGAGCGGCCCCGCAGGCGTTCATGCCAAGCCCAAGAATAAGGACATCAAAAACTTGTATGAGCAGGAGGCAGCTCGGGCAGGAGGCCACAGAAGCAGGAAACCTAAGTTTAGGAAGTAACTCGAGGAAGCTTGTGGTTGTTACAATGGCGCCAGATATCGCGTGCAATAGCGCGCAATGCGGACGTGATGTATCTCCCTTATATGGCGTCATTGGGCCCTTTGGGCGCTGTTGAACGCTACTGGGCGCCACTGGGCGCGGTGCGCGCGCTGTTCGGCGCTGTGGGACGCTATTCGTCGATGTACACCCAAACCAAGACGTGTGGAAATTCCCGTGGCTTAGTATCGAAGTCGTAACTCGACATGGAATAGCATAGCGTTAGCCACAGAGCGGATCAAATTGTGGCGCCCGCCCTCTGCATGCCTCAACCTGCCCTGGGCTACTGAAGCAGACTTCGCACAGAAGCACACCTACCCACCGTACGCTCCAGGAGCCCGTCGCCGGGGAACAGACCATGACATAAACGTGAACTTTCGGAGGTTCGCACGGATTTCTCGGATCGGCGCTGGGGCCCCCTGGCGGTGCTTCCGGCGCCGCCCCTTGCGCGCTCCACGCGCCAAGGGAGTGGGGTCCAGCGCCGGTCCGAGAAATCCAAGAGGACTTCCGAAAGTTTATGTTAGAGGCATTGCTTGTTCCCCGAGGTCGTGCCAGCTCGACGGACAACAGAAATGGAGCTGATCGACCCATCGAGCAGCACACATCAAGAGCCAATCGTGCTAGCACCTGCCCGCCGGCTCCCCCAACAAAACGCTGGTCGGCGCCTCGGCGGGCAAAAAGCAAGAGCCGGCCGCGCAGGTTCGGCCCTGCGCGCGGTTGGCCCTGGCCAGGGGTGGCATGCGGTGCGCTGCTGTTTCTGTTTGGGGGAGGGGAGCGGGACCTGCTGCTTGATCGATCTGCGCGCTCGCCATGTCCGCGCCAAACACGCGCCAAACAAGGGGGTGCCCCCCTCCCAAGAGCAGCCCCTCCGGTCAACGAGCGCTGGCGAGGCGCCGCCAGGCTCTCCAGGCGCCCGATCACCAAGGTATCGACCTGCTCCTCCTCCCCCTATTCCTCCTCCTCCTCCACCTCCTCCTCCTCCTCCTCCTCCTCCTCCTCCTCCTCCCTCCTCCTCTCCCCTCCTCCTCACCCCTTCCTCTTCTCCTCTCCTCCTTCTCCTCCTCCTCCCTCCCCCCCCTCTCCTCCTCCTCCTCCTCTCTCCTCCTCCTCCTCCTCCTCCTCCTCCTCCTCCTCCTCCTTCTCCGAATCTCCGATCCCACCGAGTTCCTCCTCCTCCTCCTCCTCCTCTCATCCTCCTCGCCCCTCCTCCTCCTCCTCCTCCGCCTCCTCCTCCTCCGCCTCCTCTCATCCCCCCTCCTCATCCTCCTCTTCCTCCTCCTCCTCCTCCTCCTCCTCCTCATCTCCTCCTCCTCCCTCCTCCCTTCCTTCCTCCTCTTCTCCTCCTCCTGCTCCTCTCCTCATCATCCTCCTCGTCCTGCTCCTCCTCCCCTCCCCTTTTCCTCCTCTGCCTCCTCTCATCATCATCCTCCTCGCACCTCCTCCTCCTCCTCCGCCTCCTTCTCCTCCTCCGCCTCCTCCTCCTCCTCCGCCTCCTCCTCCTCCTCTTCCCCCCCGACGCGCTGTTTTCTCAACTGCGGTGTCCCTGGATGTCCCCGCCCGCGCCCCAGGGGCGCCTTCTCATCCCAAGACGCTTCTTCGCCGAACCCGGGGCCCGAACCCGGGGCCCAGCGCGGGCCCCTGGAACTCCACGCGTTGAAAGACCTCCGTTCTGGACGAGCGGCGAACGTATCCATATCCACGGCCTTGCGATCTAGATTTCGGGTCGCGATCCCGCTGATGCGCGGTCGCACGGATACTTTCCGCGAGGGGCTTTCGCGAAACAATGCCCCGTATCGGCGGGGTCGCGGCCGAAGGACCCGACCCGAGAAGCCGCGGATACGGATATGTGTTTCGCCCATGTGCCCTGACTGGCTCGACACGCTAATGTTCTTGGCAGCAGCACCAAGAGGCCACCCTGGCGAGGGGGCATACCTTACACATGGCGCCGACTCGTGCACCGTGGCGCATTTCTGGCGCCAGGGGCAGCAGCAAAAGGAGCAACCGAAAGAACAGATGTGCGGGGAGTGCCGCACCGCGGGCGCAGACCAGGGGCACGTTTGGAGCAGGAAGGCGGTGGTCCTTGTCTCTGAATGCCCACCAGGCCACCCCAGCTCAACCCGAACTTGCCATCGGCCATAGGGGCCTGTCAATTTCCAGCGGGGGGGGCCCCTTCAGCAGCATCGAACAGAACCCGTGGTTGGCCGGCCCGCTCGGCTCCCCTCTCCGCGGGGGACACGTCCCGGCCCCGCCACGCCCCTAAGCAGCCTCGAACGTATCCCTGTCCCTAAGATGGACGAGCAAAAAGCGAGGACAATCTTAGGGATAGGCCCTCAGAAACTGAGGGAGTCCTTAAGATCGGCATCGAGGTGAGGTGATGTCAAACATAGGGATAAGGATATGTTTCAAGCTGGTAAGCCCCCCCCAACCCCTGAGATCCGACGTAGCGAGAGCACTGCAACTTAGTGACAAATCACGCCCAGAGCCCTGGATCCCAGCTCTCTTCGGGGACGCACCGACCCGGGTCGGTCCAGGCCTGGGTCAGTCGGGCTTGGCAGGACCCTGGACGATCCTGCAAGACCCTGCCCCCCGCACCACAGGCCCGGGTCCGTGCGACCCCGGCCCTGCAGCATCCTGCAGAGTCCGGCGCTCTGATTGACCCTTGACCCCGCCCCCTGAGCCCCGAGCTCGGCGCCAGGCTTTTAGGGCCGCAGCATCGATCTGCGAGGGCCCCGGAGCCCGACAAGAGGCAAAAACGACCGGCTCGGACCAAGGTTGGCACGCCAGGACCTCAGGGTTAGGTCGGGCATGCCCTCCTACAGGCGGGTTTCGGCAGAAACGCAGAACACAGTCAAACAATGTTCAAAAGAGTCGGCAAAGATGCCAAAACATCGTCCCATGTCAGGTTTGTCTTATTACTTCTGTAGATTCCTCCTGCAGAGGGACGTGCCCGCCCTAACCTCAAGGCCGCCCCCCCCGCGCGCCTCCGAGCCGCTCCGACCATCGGGGTGAACGAGAACGGGGGGATAGCAAGGGGTAGGGTAGAGAATCAGCTCACGTGGCTGATTCTCCTGGCGCCTCCCGGCGCCAAACTATCGAGGGGTGGGCCCAGCGGCGGGGCCGAAACCAGCTGAGTGCAGCAGAGTTCGTGCGCTCCCCCTTTCCCTATCCCCCCCTTTCGTTCGGCCCGCGCCATGGGGCTCCTGTCGGCGAGGAATTGGCGACTGGAGGTCGGTGCAAACCTCCCGAACAGGGCGGGAGCGCTGCTCCCTGCCCCGGGGGGAGGACAGGGGAGCCCCGCTGCTCTATTCCCGGGCCCGCGGTAACGTTTGCCCCTGATCCCGCCACCGCCGCCAAGAAAAAGAAAAACGACATTCGAGGAGGAGGAGGAGGGGGAGGAGGAGGAGGCGGAGGAGGAGGAGGAGGAGGAGGAGTCGAGAGGTCGAGGAGGAGGAGGAGGAGGACCACCCCGCTGCCAAGTCTTGCCCTCGAGGCCCAGCACGGGCAGCCACGGGCGCCCCCCGAGAAACGCCGCCCCCCGCTCTCGGCACTGCGGCGGAGGCCCCCGCTGCGCCGGGGCCGCCGCCGCGGCCCTGCCTCCGCCCTCCCCTGCGGGAGCGAGGGGAGGGGGGGCGGGCAGAGGAGGAGAAGGATAGTGATGATGATGATGATGATGATGATGATGATGATGATGGTGATGATGATGATGATGATGATGATGATGATGGTGATGATGATGATGATGATGATGATGATGATGATGATGATGATGATGGTGATGATGATGATGTTGATGATGATGATGATGATGATGAGGATGGAGGAGGAGGAGGGAGGAGGCGGAGGAGGAGCGGAGAGGAGCAAGTGTGAAAAGGGGGTGGGGAGGAGGAGGAGGAGGAGGAGGAGGAGGAGGAGGAGGAGGAGGAGGAGGAGGAGCAGGAGGGGCAGAAGGAGCAGGGGGAAGAGGGCTGGCATGGAGCGGGAGGGAGGCAGGCGTCGGCGGAGGGCGGAGGAAGAGGACGGAGGGCCGCGGGCCGCGCCGGCGGCCTGGAGCATGGGCCTCCCACGCTGGACAGCCTCCCCGGAGCGCCGCCAAACATTCTCCCGCTGGCAGAGGATCGCCCGCGAGGTTGGGCAATACCCCTCCACTCAGAGGCTCGACAGAGTCACGCTGCATCTTCGGGGGGCCGCTCCGACCGGAGCCGCGCCGCGGGGAGCGCGGCTCTCTTCGCGCCCCTGGAGGTGACCTGGAGAAGGAGGGGGGGTCAACGCGTGAAGGCCCGAGGCATGTGCGCCGGCGAGGGAGGGGACAGGGGGGCGTATGGCGGCGTATGGGAAGAAGAAGGGGAGGAAGAAGGGGAGGAAGAAGAAGAAGGAGAAGAAGAAGAAGAAGAAGGAGACGAGTGGGCGTCGCCTGTCCCACCGCGCGGGCTCCCCGTGTCGAATGCGTGTCGACCGCGTCGGTTTCACGTCGGGCCCGCGCTGGGCACGAGGGGAGAGCACACTGGCAGGACACACAGGGCCCTCCGAATATGCAACGTGAGAGATGGAGCCGAGCGGCCTCACAAGCATTCCCGCCCAGCGTCGGAATGAGGCGTCGAGGGGTGCAAAAGGCGGGCATAACGAGAGACCGGCCGAGGGCAGCAAGTGGGCTCAGGGGGGGCAGGACCAGGAGGAGGAGGACGAGGAGGAGGAGGAGGAGGATGAGGAGGACGAGGAGGAGGAGCAGGAGAAGGAACAGGAGGAGGAGGAGGAGGCGGAGGAGGAGGAGGAGGAGGAGGAGGACCCACTCGTCCTCCCTCCTCCCCCATCCTGCACCTGGGGGGGGGGGGGCAGCGGGGGGCAGAGGCGCACGGAGCCGCACGCGCAGCTGCCTTCGGACGTCAGCGCGGACCTCCGACAGCAGATGTTCGCGGAGGTGTTACTTCTTCGAGGCATATGGCGGGCCCGATCCCGGGCGTTGCAGTCAGCCAGGATCATGAGCATGCGCGGGAAGGATGCGAGGGCCTTGGAGCGCCATGTGGACTTTCGCTGACCAGCGAAAGTTGCTGTAAGGATGGGCCAAAGAGGCAAGGATGCAAGGGTGCCCTTGCCAAGTCGCCCCATCCTCGCTCTCATGGATGACTGTATGGGGTATTCGACTGGACAGCAAGTCTGGGACCCAGACCCCGGGGATGCACGACACGGGGGGCGTCCGTCCTCGGTGGGCGCGCGGGCAGCCCCGCAGTGGTCTGCGTCCCCCGAGTCCCCCCCCCCTTTCTCAAGTGGCCCAGCCTTGGGGAGAGGGGCCCAGGGAGACTGGGAGCAAGGCAGTCGCCTGCGACGGGGGAGAGGGAGAGAGCCCGTGTGGAAGCGAGGAGGAGCCCCTAAGGGGGGAGAGGATGAAGGGGCAGTCAAGCTAGGCGCGCACGCGTCATTATCTGACGTCATGACCGTCCATCCCATCCCTTGCCATTGCGTCGAGCCCCACTCGATCAGCACGATAAGACGTTGAAGAGGACAACGCTCCCCAACGAGTGCGCGATGCGATTAATGACATAGCATTGCGTAGTCACGCATTGCATATCATAGAATTGCAGCGTAAGGCATGGCATCGCATAGCGGTGCATAATACAGCATGGTATGGTATGTCATTGCCCAGCGATGACTGTACCATTGCAGAGCAAGGCATGGAATCGCGACATAGTGGGCATAACATAGCATTACTGTGCATACGCCATGCCTGCACGACCCGTGCAGGAGGAGAACCACGCTGGAGGACCGACAAGTCTGGTGATGAGGCCGACTCTCCAGAAGGAGCACCAGTCCGACGGACCGGAAACGCGGAAACGAGCGTGCTGCAGCGGAAGCCTCACTCGTAATGACCGAAGGCGGGACGCCGAAACCATCGCTGCAGCGGAAGCACCAGTTTGCAGGACCGAGAGCCATCGGATTGTAAAGAAGCGCCTGAACAAAAAAAAAAAAAAAAAAAAAAAACGGGTGCGGAGGCGGGGCGGGCACTCTCAGCACCTCGTCGGGGAAGAGGTGAGAGCGCCAACTGTGCGGCACAACTGTAGAGGACATCCCGGAAGCAGGTGCGGGTGGGGTGTGTCTACCTGTTGTGCCCCTTTTTGCGCGACATTCTCGCAATCGGGAGCCGAGCCTGCTGGCCGAGCCCCAGACGGGGGAGGGGGGCCAGGTGGAGGTGGAGGTGGTTCTTCTTTCCCGAAGGAGGGGGGGGGGCATGGTGGGGAAGGGAACGGTTGGAACGTGGAGCAGCATGTGCAGAATGCCTGCACGTTTCTCTGGATGATGCTTGCGCGTGGAGTCTCTGGGGAAACCAAGAGGTACCGATACCGCTGCTCCCCGGACCTATCCTGGGGTGCTTTCTGGCCAGAATTTCGGAGCGAATCCAGCGGTGGCGACGGAGGCCTCCCAGGAGTGCCACAGAGGCAAAAACGCGGGAGGGGTAGCGGTGTCGGTACCTCTTCCTCCTCTGAGACTCTTGCTCCTGGGCCCCAGGCTTTTCCCCAGGGCCAACTTCTCGTCCTGCGCCGTTTTGTTGACAGCCACCGGGGCCTCTTGAACAGGCTCAGGAGAGCCCCCAAAACTCAAGGACCCGTGTCCTGCAGGATCCCCTTCCTCGTATGGCAGGCTGAAGCGGCAGGGAAGGCTGCGGATATCTTCGAGGTCCCGGAGCAGAACTTCGGAGATGGAGGTGGTGGAGAAAAAAGAAAAAGCAACCCTGCGGTAGCATGCCCTGAGCATTGGCAACGCCGAAGAAAGAGAAAGAGAACGGGGGCGAGGAAAAGAGGAGGAGGAGGAGAAGGATGATGAGTGTAGGGGGGAGCGGAGGAGGAGGAGGAGGAGGAGGAGGAGGAGGAGGAAGAGGAGGAGGGGAGTGAGGATGATGAGGAGGAGGAGGAGGAGGAGGAGGAGGAGGAGGAGGAGAAAGGGGAGGAGGAGGAGGAGAAGGAGGAGAAGGAGTAGGAGCAGGGGAAGGAGGAGGAGGAGGAGGAGAACGAGGAGGAAGAGGAGGACCAGTGTAAACCCAAGAGTCATTGACGATGTTGGAGTAAACCCTCCCTCCAAGCTCCCTATTCATAGGCCCTTACAACGGTTAATTTCCATTGATTGAACTGCCTCGTCGGAAGACGCCCGTTTGAAGACCCTGAAGAATACCAAAACATTGTTCTCGGGATTGCGACGCCACGGATCAAACTGGCTGTTGCTTCTTGACAACCTTGGATCGTGCGAGAACGCCTTTCCTGGGACTTCAACGCAGCGAACCATCATAACTGCTGCATCGGCATAATCCGGAATCATTCCAAAACACCATTTCTGGTACATTGATGATGGGAACCGTGTAACTGTTGCAGATGTTTAAAACGAAGACGCGCCGCGCCCAAGCGAGAGACTCATGTTGAACAACAACCGCCCTCAATCCGTGAAACTCTAGCAAATGTTTGAAGCGAGTGTGCGCCGCGCCAAGGCGAGAGCCACAATTGAAAAGGACCCACCCTCAATCCGTGAAACCCTTGCAGATTGAAAAAACGAATGTGCGCCGCGTTACGGCGAGAGCCACATTTTGAAAACGACCTGCCCTCAATCCGTGAAGCTCTTGCTTGCAATTTGTTTAAACGAATGCGCGCCGCGCTAAGGTGAGAACCACATGTTGAATACCACCCGCCCTCCACACGTGAAACGGTTATCATTAGTTGAGCTTCAGGGTCATAAATGATGAGGAAGTCTCAGGCGAAACGCCTGGCCCGCCCTAAAAACTGGCCTCGGGGTGCGACAGGGCGAAGTTCTTCATGAGGAGCAGGAACGAGAAGCAGAGGAGAAGGAGGAGGCCCTCTGTCCGTGGAGCTGCCGCGAGCTCTCGAAAAAGGGCATGCGCTCGGCGCTCCGGTGAGACCCCCAGTTTGACAACGAGCCGCCGTCCATCCCGTGAAGCTGCAGTGCGCTTCGAGCTTCGGCCTCCTGGCTGGCGAGGAGGCCTCGGGCGGCATGCTTGGCCCGCCCTGCTGGCACGCCTGGGCGTGCGACAGGGAGGAGCTGCTTACAAGAAGCACGGGCGGGGGAGGACGAGGGGGAGGAGCAGGAGGAGACGAGGGAGGAGGAGGACGAGGAGGAGGAGGAGAAGGAGGAGGAGGAGGAGACGAGGGAGGAGGAGGAGGGGGAGGAGGAGGCGCAGCGCTGCAGGAGAAGGGGGAGGAGGAGGGCAGTAGAAGAGAGGGTCAAGACTACGCGTGCCGCTGCTGGTAAGCACCCTGGGTGAGCGACGCCTGGGGTCCCTGGCTCGACGCTCACGAGGGTTCTCAGGCCGCGCCCTCACATGTGCGGCCTGCTCCTTGAAGATCCAGGGGCCCCAGGGGTGGAACACCTCTGAGTTCTACTCTGCTGCTGCTGCCGCGGCTCTTCTCCGGCCTCTCCTCCGCCTCCTCCCTTGCATGCTTCCCACCTCGTCCTCCTTCTCCTCCTCCCTCTCCTCCGTTACCGCCTCCTCCTCTTCCTCCTCCTCCTCCTTCTCCTCCTCCTCCTCCTCCTCCTCCTCCTCCTCCTCCTCCTCCTCCTCCTCTCCCCGTGGACGTTCCCATGGCTTTTCATCCTGAGTGGTTGTTTGACGGTTCCGGGAGCCCGATAACGTCCAAAAACATCCAGGGCCCGTTTTCCTCAAGACCCCCTTTCCTTTCATGGTGAGCTGTTGCCCGCTCCTTCTCGGAAGCCAGCTCGCCCCGCCCAGGGCCCAGTAGCACAGCGGAGACCAGAAGGGACCAACAAGGAGCGCGAGGAGCGGGAACTTGTTGGTTTGATCGGTACTCCCGTGTGGCCAACCCTCTGTGCTGGTGAGTGTGCTTCATTCTGTGCTTCCATCTGCCCAGACCCTGTCTTGGCGAATCCGATGCAGTACGTCGGGACGAGCAGCGCCATCATCATGATCGGATTGTGCGCCCTGCCTGGCTGGACGTAACCCGACACCGCCTCGACCACGACCATCACAAGAACGAGCGCCATCATGCACGCGTGGGGGCCGAGCTCGATGCCCCGCACCGACCAGGCACCGTGCGCAAGCGCATGCCCTGCGCAGTGCGGAGCCATCGCCGCGGAGCGCGGGGAGGGCCAGCCGAGACAACGGCGGCTCTGGGGCGGGTGGCAATGGGATGGGCGGTGCCCTGAAGGAGTGGTGAAAATCAACCTGGCGAAGAACCCAACCATATGCAGTTGTGAATGCCGCACTTTTGGGTATCGTCTTCCGTGGAGCTCCCTCTGGGGCCACGAAACGCTGTACTGGGCGGGGGGAGCCGCATGCGAGTTCCGCCACTGGGACCTTCGGTGGAGCTGCCTCTGGGGCCACGAGACGCTGTACTGGGCGGGGAGACCGCATGCGGACTGCGCCACTGAGACCTTCGATTGAGCTCCCTATGGGGCCTAGAAGCGCTGTACTGGGCACAGGAACCGCATGCGAATGCCGCCAATGGACGGACCGTCGGTGGAGCTGCCTGTGTGGCCACGAAGCGCTGCACTGGGCGCAGGAACCGCTGCGGACCTTCGGTGGAGCTCCCTCTGGGGCGACGAAATGCTGTACTGGGCTGGGGAACCGCATGCGGACTGCGCTACTGGGACCTTCGGCGGAGCTGCTGAGCCGCTGGGACCTTCGCTTGAGCTCCTCCTGGGGCAACAAAACGTTGTACTGAGTGGGGGGGCCGCATGCGGACTGCACTACTGGGACCTCCATTGGAGCTCCCTATGGGGCCACGAAGCGCTGTAGTGGGCTGAGGAACCGAATGCGACCTGCGCCGCTGGGACATTCGGTGGAGCTCCCTCTGGGGCGACGAAACCTTGTATTGGGCACAGGAACCGCATGCGGACTGCGCCACTGGGACCTTCGGAGAAGCTCCCTATGGGACCACGAAGCGTTGTACTGGGTGGGGAAACGCATGCGAACTGCGACACAAGCCTCCCGGTGGGATCTCTCTTCCACAAGGCACGGCAGATCCAAAAGGGGCCCTGGAGGGCGCCTGGAGGGCGCCTGGAGTGCCCTTGTCTTCATCCCCCCCGACTTCGGTCACCCCCCTGGACCAGCTCCGAGCAAAACCGGCCCCCCGGGACCCCTGCTGGGCTCCACCCATGGCCCGGTCTTCGCGAGTCGGCTGCCGCCGCCGCGAGGGGGCGCGCCGCCTCCCCAGGGGCAGCCCGGCGACGAGGAGGCCGAGCAGCGCCGCGGGGCGCCGCCGTCGCCTCGACCGGCCCTGCCCCGATGCCTTCGAGGGGTGTCGGCAAGGGCGCGCCGCGCACAGAGGAGGCAAGGGGGGGCCTCTCTGTGCCGCCGCGCGCGCGCGCTGTGAGCGGCGCTCCGCGCCTGCGTCCTGAAAGGCCTGAGCCCCAACGTGGCTGCGACGGGCAGGGGACGCATGGCCCGAGCTCCGCGAGCGCTGCTGCCTTGTGAAGTGTATGTGTGTGTGTATGTGTGTGCGCGTGTGCGTGTGTGTGTGTGTGTGTTGTGTTGTGTGTGTGGTGTGCGTGTTGTGTGTGTGTGTGTGTGTGTTGTGTGCGTATGTATGTATGTATGTGTGTCTGTCTGTCTGTCTGTCTGTCTGTCTGTCTGCCTGTCTGTCTGTCTGTCTGTATGTATGTATGTATGTATGCATGCATGTATGAGGAAGTGTGTGTGTGCTTGTGTGTGCGGTTGTGTGTGTGTGCTTGTGTGTGCGGTTGTGTGCGGTGCTTCGGCGTGTCACCGTCGCACTAATTATCCCATGTCCTCGTTTGCCCCGCTTGCCCCTCGTTCCCGTCGCCCCTTCCCCTCGCGGCTGCCCCCTCGCTTCGGCGCGTCCCTGTCGCACTGCTTCTCCCATATCCTCCTTTTCCCCCCTCCTGCCCCTCGTTCCCAGCGCCCCTTTCCGTCTTGACTGTCCCCTCGCGAGAGATGCTGCTGCTCGCCGATGGGTGGACCCAGCTTCTCCACGCTGCATAATGACTTGACCTGCGCCGCGCCGCCGCGCGCGTGGCCGCGACGCCAACAAGTGTGCTTGTGTATGTGCAGGGAAGACGCTGGCATAAGGACCACTCAGTGTTCAGGAGGGGATCGGGCGACGCCACCTTTCAGAGACCACTCCCTGAACCCCTTGGGTCAAGTCGGGCGTGTCCCTCTACAGGAGGAACATTCCCAAATAGTCAAACATGTAGTATGGGGACGTTTTTTGTTCATATATACATATATAAATATACAAATGTATACATCTTCACATATATATATATATATATATGAAAATGGATTGCTTCTTGTTTTGCATTGTTAATTTGTCGTCCCAAACCCGCCTGCACGCCCGACAGAACCCTTGGGCGCTATCACGGCCCGCGCTCCGAGCCGATCCCAAGGCTCCCCGGCGGCGGAGCCCAGCCTATCATCCGGACGGCGCACGCGAGGCCGAGCAAGGGCAGCGTCGACAATTCCGCTGGGAGCCCGTCTCAGCCTCCAGCTGCTGCTGCAGGGGCCCAGGGACACACAAATCAATACGCACAGATCCCAAGACTTCCCATATGTTATCGTACGCTCTTGATTTTCGTTTGACTCCCCCCCGCTTCCCACATGTTCCAATACTTTCCGGGGGATCGACGATGAATGGTGTCGGCGTGATTTTTGTTCCTCCTGAGCTGCTGGAGGCGTTGGAGTCCGCAAGCAGACGCAACCTTGGCGTTCCTGGAAAAAGGATTCGCCTGCCGCCAGCCAGGAAGGGGGAGGAGGAGGAGGAGGAGGAGGAGGAGGAGAAGGAGGAGGAGGAGGAGGAGGAGGAGGAGGAGGAGGAGGGAGGAGGAGGGCGGAGGAGGAGGAGGAGGAGAGGGAGGAGGAGGGGAGGAGGAGGAGGAGGAGAGGAGAAGAAGGGGGAGGAGGAGGGAGGAGAGAGGGGGGGCAGGCAATGCCAAGGGGGTCACCACCAATCCACCAATTAAGATGGGCCCCACCGCAACGAGGAAACTAGCACCCCTGGAGCCCGCCAAAAACCTCCCAGGGGTCGCAGAGACGCCCAGAACCTCCTCGAGCCTCCCTCCTCCTCCCTCCCCCTGATGCCCGAGTTCCAGGAGGGGGGTGGTGACCCCCACTGGTGGTGACCCCGTGCGGCACTGCCTGAAAGGACGAGGGGGGCGTTTGTGCAGGCTGTGGCCCTCCGAGCCTGCTACAGTAGGGGCCCGACCACAAGACTCCTCCTCCTCCTCCTCCTCCTCCTCCTCCTCCTTCCTCCTCTTCCTCCTCCTCCTCCGCCCTCCTCCTCCCTCCTCCTCCCTCCTCTTCCTCCTCCTCCTCCTCCTCCTCCTCCTCCTCCTCCTCCTCCTCCTTCCACAAGAAACAAACCAAACCCTGAGACCCCCAGGATGTCCATAGACTGGTGTGGGAGCGCCACGATTCTCACAGCAGAGCCCTCAAAACCCAGGAAGCCCAGGGCACGCTGCAGGCAAGCAGGATGGGTCTTGGCATGTGTCTCGACTATACTGCCACGGTCCCGGTGCGCATAATTAAAGGGGCCCTGAGACACACAAATAAATAGGCACACATAACAGGATTCCCCATCTTTTCCCATATGTTCTAGGTTTTCGTCTTCCCCCCCCCACTTCCTATATGTTCCCATCTTTTCCTGGTGATCGACATTTAATTGTGTCTATTGTTCCCCCTCCTGAATCATGGCCCGAGGCCTGTGCGCGGACGAGTGGGGGCCTGGGGAGAGGAGGCGCTCCAAGAGGTGCCTCGCAGTCGAGGGTCGCAGAAGCTGCCAGCTCTAGAGGGGCCCAGGCACACACACACACACACACACACACACACACACACACACACACACACACACACACACACACACACACACACACAATTGAATACATACACATACCAGGGGACTCCCGACAACTTCCCATGCTTCCTGGGTTGTCTCTTCCCCCCTCACCGCTTCCCATCACTTCCTATCTATTCCTGGGAGTCGACGATGAGTTCTGTCTGTTTGTTGGTTCCCCTCCTAGATCTCCTCCTCCGCAGGAGGGCGGCGAAAGAGCGGCGCAGAGGCGGCGAACATGAAAGACGGGGGCGGCTCCGCCAGGGAAGGTCCACAGAAAGGTCGGCGGAGGCCCACGGAAGTAAGAGACGCGCTCCCGAGGGCTCCCAGAAGCGGCCCTACGTCGAAAGAAGGGGGGGCGTGAAATCTGGGCGACTTCATGGCCACCACCATGATATCCACCGCCAGGATATCCACACACACACACTCACACGCGCACGCACGCACGCACGCACGCACACACACACACACACACACATTCACACACAAACGCACACACATACCATACACACACACGCAAACACACAAACACACCCACAAGCACACACGCACACACACAGACACACACACACACACACAGACACACACAGACACATACACACATACATATACACACGTCTCGCCCCCGCCTGCTTGCACGCCCCCCGACTTCTGGCACGACGTACACACCGCGTCGTCTGATCGGTCGAGGGGCTCGGTGCATAGACGCCCCAGATGCCCAACCTGTGGGACGCCAGAGCGTCTACACATCGAATCCACTCGCCGAGCTCCTTGGCTCCCTGGGCGGCCAAACGACGTGGCGTGCGCCTGCTCGGCGTGTCGCGGCGGCGTGCCCGGCGACGCACTGTGTCCTGCAGGCGGTTAGCACGTCGCTCTGCTCCGCGTTGCGGGAGGCTCGGAAAGGCTCGGGATGTTGGCGCATGGGGACTGGGACGTGCATTGCTCGTCGAGCCGATGAGCCGACGGCACGACATGCCAAGCAAACGCTCCCGACCCTGTACACGCGTAAACTTTCGGAGGTCCATGCAGATTTCTGGGATCGGCGCTCAGGCCCCCCTCCCAGGCGCGCGGAGCGCGCCAGGGGCGGCGCCGGGGTGCCGCCAGGGGGGTCAGCGCCGATCCGAGAGATCCGCACAGACCTGCGAAAGCGTGTCGGGTGCACTAGCCTGGCCCCCCTCCCATTCTGTTGCCTGCATGGCGCAGGCAGCGGCGAGGGCGAGGTGCACGCGGCACCCCGCCGCGCGGACCGCCGCCGTCGTGCACATCGGCGCTTCTGCTCTGCTTCGGGCGGTGCACACCTCGGGACCCTCCGGGGCTCTCGGCCGACGGCCGCCGACCCCGGGGGCCCGCTCGACACCGCGTCGTCACCAGGCCGGGCACGGCCTCTGCCGCCGCGCTGCCCTGCAGGCGCAGGCTGCTCCTCTCCGCGCGGGGGCCCCCTCGCAGGTCCAGCGGCACCCGCCGCGGCGCACGAGGAGCGCAGCGGGCAGCGCGGCGACCCCGATGCCCGACTCTGCCGGACTTCCGACCGGGAGAGCAGGTCGGAGCCCAACGAGGGGATATACGACTGGGGGGAGGGGCGTCCATCCTCTGCAGGATTGCGTGCGAACAGCCCCCCGCAGGGTGTGTTCTCGAGTTCTCCTCCCTGTCTGAGCTGCCAGTTTCGAGGGGGCAAGCTCGGGGACCAGGGGCGAGAGGTCCACTCAACGAGCGCTTTGAAACAAACTATTCCGCCACCATGGATTCGTCCACACATGGCCTGCGAATTCCAAACCCAGGAGAGCCCAGAATCGAATCGATAAGTCGGATCGGCGATCGAAATGAACCGGATTGGCGGAAATCGGCGGCCAAGCCGGGGAAAGTCGAATCGGCGGACATCGACAGGCTGGTATGCCTCCAAACATCGGAGCCCAAATCAGACTCCCAAATCGAATCGAACCCGAACCGGCAGCAATCGACATCGAATCGAATCGAATCGGAGGAATCGAAACGAGCCCTGCACGCGCCCCACCTCCTCCTCCTCCTCCTCCTCCTCCTCCTCCTCCTCCTCCTCCTCCTCTCCTTCCTCGCGCCCCTCCTCCTCCTCCTCCTCCTCCTCCTCCTCTGAGAACGTGTGGCTGCCCTGCCTTGGGGCGCGGGCCAGCCTCGCAGCTGAGTGCGCAACCTCCCTGAGGGAGAGGGGGCGCCTGCGCTGTCGAGACAGCACGTGGGCGCGGCACATCAGCTCAACGCTACTCTGGGTTTCTAGAATAAGCGTGGTGGGGGGTACCCCCCCGACGGGGGTCAACCTCGCCTCGTCGTCGCGCTGCGACGGGGGTCGGAGCGCCTTCGGCGCGCGGTGGCTGCCCGCGACGAAGGTCGATGTGGGGCTGTCGGCGGGGTTGGCTTCCCCCCGACGCTTTAAGAAACTCGGAGAAGGGGAACGAGCAAGGACATAAACATCAAAAACTATGAGGTCCGAGCGGATTTCTCGAATCGGCGCTGGGGCCCCTTGGCGGCGCCTGTGGCGCCGCCCCTGGCGCGCTCCGCGCGCAAGGGAGGGGGGGGGTCCAGCGCGGATCCAAGAAGTCCGC